TGCATGAATAATTCACAGTTGTGCTCACATTTGGATAACTGCGTGACGCCCAGGACAGCCAAATTGGGAGAGATACAGGCTTCCCCGATCACACATAATGCTAAGGCGGCAACAGCGACGTTTTCTCGTACAGGCCACTGTAATATGCATTTCATTGATACACTGAGTCAAGAACAGATACACAATGTCAAAAAGACATGTGGACAGACAGACAGACAGACAGACAGATAGGCAGGGTGACTTAAGTGACAGGGGGCTCTTACTGGCCTGAATAGTTAGGGAGTTTAACTCGGATGGCCGACAAAGTTAAGTCAACTACATGTACATGTATGCGCAACGGCGGATCAAAGGAGGGCAAAGTGGACAGGCACGACCATGTCCCTTTTCTCTTGCCCCGATTTTTCATCCCCATGTCCTTTAGCCTACATTATAGTGAACTTGTCCTTGTCTATTTTTTATAATCAATGCATCCTTGTGCCCCCCCCCCCCCCCCCCCCCCTTAACAAAAACCTGTTCGCATTCGGTTAAGGTTTTACAGTTATTCCTCAGGGTGTTGAATATATTTCAATGAGAAATATCCCGATTTAAATCACTAATATCAGTTCTATCATAGTACGACATTATCACAGATAACATTTTCGGCCTAGTTATTCAGCTGATAAGCAAACTAAGTTGTATATTTGCATCATGATTGCAAGTGTTGAGAAATTCTGTAATTTGCATAGATCTACATGTACATGTATTTTCTGCAATAGAGGTCACAGCTTTCAAAGTAAATGTTTTTTAAACAGCCAAAATCAAGCCAATAATGAAACTTGCTTTATATTTAAATAATTAGCATTCATTTTCATGTGTATATACGTACAATTTTCTAGATGTGATAATTAAATAATCTGAGGAAAAAAACGCGTCTCCAATTCTGACACATACATATGCGAACTACATGTGTACTAACCTGTTTTGCTGCAGCTGCTGCCTCCAATAAACTTGCGCCTGCACAAAAAAAAATCAATTCTGTCATTCTCATATCAGAAGGCGGCACATTGTGGCATTTTAAAAGCAAAAATACACATATATATATAATTGAGGGAGGCTGCATTTAAATTCGACCAAGAGTCGATCAGGACCACATCGATTAATCACAGGGCCTGTTATAAGGGGTCACTTGTGTGGGGGCTTGATGAAAGGAGATGTAAACAAGAAGCAATGATTAGTGTGGGGGTTTTAAAATATAGAATGCTGGTGTGCGAGGACGTATACTAAATTGGCTAATATCTAATACGAGTAGATGAAGATGGAGTAAATACACGTGTTTCAAAATCAACTTTACAGCTAGTTTTTAATTAACTCCTTCGTACACTGCTTTTTGGTAATTTACTCTCTATTTGGTAATTTACTATCTCCATGGGACCAATGCAACTGACCTGTAAGATAGGCAGTAAATCCTACGGCTAGCATTTTCTTCTTGTCCACAAAGACGTCTGCCATGATTCCTCCCACTAATGACATGCAATGACAAACACCTGGAATGTTATTGTTAAATTTTTGTATTTGAACGTTTAATTCCTTGCTTATTGTCCAGTCTTATTTAGAATTAGAACAATAAAAATACACAAACAATGTACGTGAAAAAATAAGATTACTTACCAATAAAAATCATTCTGTAGCTCAAAGATTCCACGTCTGTTTGTTTGAATTCAACGTACCACAGACTAGCCATATTTGTGACCACGGTGAAGTACGCCACGTGCTGCAGAAAATCCAAAACCATTATAATGGTTACCGCCCGCCATCCTCCGCGGCCGTTCGAAATTTTTTCGGGACCCTCCGCCGCCCCGTCGTCACATGTTGGCTTCAACAACGGAGTCTTTTCCGAACTCCCCGCGATAAAAGAAGTGCTCTGTGTTAAATTATTCGACTTGCTTTCCATGATTTCTCTAGGAGGCAACTCTGTCCAAAATCATAGCAAACGCAGATGATTTACGAACAGCATAACTGCACAAAGTAAATCTTTCTGACTCTCAGATGTCAGTTCTAGTATCTTTGGAACGCAAATACCCAGGTATGTCAAGAAATCTATATTCTTCATTTCTACGTCCTAATATGTTAACAACAATCATGCACCTTCGACCAACTGTCATAATTCTGTCAATGTTTTGGATGCAACGGCGCCCTAGCTTAAATTCTTAAATTAGGTCAGGCTCGGCTTACTGCTTGTCATCGGGGCTAAACTGATTGTTATATAGATACGAGATGTACAGTTTGACTACCGGTAAACTATTAATTCCGCTATCAGTTCACTTTCGTGCTATCATTTCATGATCGGCCTATTGCATTAGATTTTATGAAACAACTAGGACTATTACTACGTCATATTATGGGCTGATCAAATAAATCAAGTCATTGCAATCTCAATGCTCAGTGTCTTTTCAAAACAGAAATGACATTTAGTCTAAAATCGGAGTAACTTATGTCATTGCATAAGTAAAGCGTATCCCGTCTCTGAAGTTTGCTTCCTCCAAAAAATCATTTCCACAGGGAAAGTGACAGTTTCATAGTGTATAGTCAATGTATAAGTAGGGGCCTATTATTACTGATGCATCTCTGAAATCTACGGTTGTCAAATATAATTCAAGCTTTCGGATTATATCTGACAACTGTAAAGTAGATCTTCAGAGATGCATCAGTAATAATATTTATATTTTCCTTAAGATCTATACGGTGAATTGACATGAATAGTCTATGTATATAACGTTCACGCACTCTCACGTTTGAAGCGAGAAATAAGCAATTATACTGTACACTCATGACGTGACGTCGCGCGTGGACAGTGGTTACGTCATAAAGTTGCACGTTTGTTATACGCTTATTGTGACGTCCCGATCGCGTTGTGTGGGTTTCCTTGGAGAAATAAACATGGTGTACAATCTGCCTCAAACTAATTTTTTCTAGGTATTTTGTAGGTTTCAGAGGTTACATCAATGAAAATATGTAGGTAATCTGATCAATATTCGGACAGGAAAATGCCGATTCGTAAATTACTCAAGCCAACTGGAAAATTGGTGATGAATTTAATTCCATTGGACCGGTCTTCTCTAGACACTGTCGCTCATGTCGGCAACCAGAGAGAAAGAAAACACTACTACAAAGTGTCCAATATCATTGATAACTTAAAAGGGGAGCAGGAACAGAAATTCAGGTTAGTACATATATTTTCTGCATATTTTGTTTATTTTCATTGACATTTTATTATTTCAAATTGAATTTTATTGTATCTTTATTGTAGGGAGAACGACTCTTCGTATGAGATAGGCCTATATATTTCACAATAAAAACATTATAAACAACTCATAGAAATATAATATATTCTATTTTACCACAAAAATGGCAGTTAAAGCAATTATTCTGATACCTGAGCTTGTCTTCGGACCATGTGACCTCCATAGATGGCTATACAAAAAAATAAACTTTCTAGAAAAAAACAAGGGACTAACTTTGAATGTAGAAATGGATTCATTAACCATTGGTTAGTATGAGAAAATTGTTGTTTACCCCAGGCCAAAATGAGCAGTTGTTATTCCTTTAACATGCACGAAGCAAATCCTTTTCTCTTTATTTTATTCCTATGGAGTTTAAACATGTTGATATATTCAGCATGATTATATTCTAATAGTATTATTTTCAACAGAAATTCCCTTATGGCGTTCCAGACAAAAGTTTGTGGCGTGTTTTGAATTACTTTTTCATTTTTCTATTAATCGTTTAGTTTTTAGCGCTAAGAGATGAACACTTCAAAAAGCAACAAAAATTAAATCAGTAAATGTACATGCCTTGCCATCAACTCTCTCTCTCTCTCTCTCTGTCTCTCTCTCACTGTGTTTGCGTGTGTATGTGTATGTGTGTGAAATATTTACTATTGATTTGTTGGGGTTATTTAAATCATAAATTGTCATACATTATCGTCAAAAACTAAGTAGATATCGCGGCAACATTTTGATAGGTAGCACATTTTTACTACTACTTCGAGAATTAAAAGGGGCCTATTGATGCCTTGTAACACGACACTTGTTCAGGGTGGGGAATTCCCCCGTTTATAAATAGCTTGCCTTATATGCAAATACTCTGCACCACTATCGCCGCCAGATATCAAATGTAAGTAATATAATGTTCGTCAGCTTCGTAATCATAGCAAGGGCTCCAATGACGTGGGTCATTCTTCACAATCCCACGCATTGACCCTGTTTTGGCAATCATCCTTAATTTCTGCAACTTGAAAAATTATGACATGTGAACAATTATGACAAGTCGACCAGTAAGTGCAATAGATTGATTTATATACACGGATAAATACATAGCCAACGTGGTGAACCTCGGTCGTTGAAATTCTGAGAAGTATTAACGTATTAAAAGACTTTTCGAGACAGATACTCCGATTTAGATTCACATAAAAGACACGTAGGCTACTGTACACCTTAGCTAATTTCTTATTACGTACTAAAGAATAACGGCACAATATCTTTTAATCTTTTAAAAAATGAGTTTTGTCCTATTAACTGATTTCCAATGAAATTTTTCAAAACATGGAAGGTCTAATTACCGCGGCGGGGCATTATTAAACAAAAGCTCGATAACCCGCCGCACCCGGACCTTACGACCTTCGGTGAGTGGGACCTCCACTATATAAACAACACACACCTGAGTTAGCGGTTAGAGTGGTACAGTAAATTAGCATATATGCTGACTCAGCTGTTTCAATCGACTTTCTCCCAAAATAGAACGGTACTTTTCCTAATTTAAAAAGCCGAGGTCAGTCTACTGCAGTGGAAAGATATTGGGTATCAATCAACAGGTCAGCGGTACCAACTGCCCTTCAGGCATTGCAAATCAACGTGTTAACTGTCACATGTAAGCAGACAATAAAAGACAATGCTGCATTAAAATGCAGGCAGTCATCCATCTAATGACTATCTCGAAAATATCTTTCACAAAACAAAAATTTTGTAGCACGAAGAATAACCTTACCCCAAATTGGAAAAAACATGTAAAAAATAAAACAGAAGGTCAAATCACTGCCTTAGGCGAGTGGCGAGGATAGGATGGTAAGATTGCGATAACCCTCTACCTCCGGACCTCGGCAAACACAGTGTACCTCCAACTATTTAAACTGTACACAAAAGAGCTGGCGGCCGTAGTGGCGCGAGCAATCTGAATACAAGAATGCTGATTCAGCAATAACAGTAGATACAGTAACGTTCTTAGGCATTCATTATCGCGACAATTTAGGCAGACATGTGGATAGAAAAAGCATCTTGATATAAAATAAGAAAACCATTGTGTGTGAAATTTTGAAGTTATTTTGGTTGCATTATAGGTGATCATAAAATTAACCAGTTTATGAACATCCAGGTGTGTCCTTTACCGAGAGATTAAACTGACCTGCGCATATGTTGCAACGAGGAGGGGTACATGTAGGGTGGCCTTTATTATTAAAACTACATTTTCATTTTCTTTATGCACCATATAAGTAAATTTAGCTTGGCATGCAGTCATCCATCTAATAACTTTCTCGAAAATATCTTTCACAAAACAAAAATTGTTAAGTACGAAGAATAACCTTACCCCAAATTGCAATAAACATGTAAAAATAAAACAGAAGGTCAAATTACTGCAGAGGATGGGTTCGTAAGATTTCGATAACCCTCTGCCTCCGGACCTTACTACGCAAGATGCACTACCACTATATAAACCGTGCACAACACAGCTGGCGGCCGTAGTGGTGCGAGTAATCTGAATATAAGAATGTTGATTCAGCAATTCGAATCAATAGGCTATTGTTGTACTGTATTGATGTCGGTGTTACCACGTGATGGTGTGTTGATTTGCTTTCAGATGAAAAACTCCCCATATCAGCACACGTTGACGTTAACGTTAGGTTAATGGTAGTTTAATATGTGCGTTCTGCTCATTATCCAAATGAATACTTAAAAAGTAAATTAATACTCTTTGAGGAAGTGATAATCCCTGTTTTATAGCAGAAAATGAAAATAAATCCCGTACTGTTGTCGTACAGTGCCTACTGTACATGTAGCACTGTACTGCTGTCGTTCAGTTCCTATTGCATATGTAGCCTGTCTGTATAAAGCGGAATTGTATTTCATTATAAAACAGCAATGGCAACAGTAACGACAACAGTATGAGAGTGCATGTGACCGATAAACGGCTCATGTAAGACTTAAATTCAATAGAACAGTAAAGGGTAAAGAAATGTCTGCAGTCGTTTTATCATAAATATCAATGGTTCGCTAGCGATACAGTAAGCATTACAGCAAAAAGTAAACCGGGTAGCTGTAAATTGGAATGAATTAAACAAGGATAGATGAGCATGAATGGCATTAAATACGACACAAAGCACAGAGAAAACTATAGAGCACACGTTTACAGTGCAAACCCAGTGGAACCCAGCAGTAAAAAAAAATAAAATTCTTCGTGCGACCTTTCGACCTCCTCTTCACGCCTACACGCCTACAACGCTTACAATATTCTCCCTCAAACTCCCTACTCCATTTTCTTTTACGGGACTTTTTATAATAACAGGGCGTTTTTTAAGACAGTGGCTGTGTATGGCAACATCACATCTTTAATATATTTCATAGTATAATAAAATAGCAGTAGATATAGGTACATTCTTAGGCATTCATTATCGTGACAATTTAGGCGGACATGTGGATAGAAAAAACATCTTGATATAAAATAAGAGAACCATTGTTTCTGAAAACTTCAAATTGTTTTGGTTGCATTATAGGTGATCATAAAATTAACCAGTTTATGAAAATCCACTACCAAGAGCTTAAACTGACCTGCGCATATGTTGCAAAGCAGAGGGGTAGAGTCGCCTTTATTATTGAAACTACATTTTCATTTTCTTTATGCACCATATAAATAAATCTAGCTTGACAGCTGTCGTAAATGTATTTGAAAAAAAATGATTGAACTTTTATGGTGTTTTCCATAAAAATCTCAATGCGCCCAACACCATCGTGAAAGACAACTACTTGCCCTTTGGTTCATTGAAACCGATGAAAATAATTAAGAAATAGTTTTTTGTTTTTTTTTTTCATTTCAGAAAAGAAGAAGAAAAAATGATGAGCCGCTACGACAAGCTTCAAGCACAACTGCAATCCCACAAAGACAAACAGGATGAAAGAAATTTAAAGGTTTACTCTCTCTCTCTCTCTCTCTCGTTACAATCGCTTCATACACTATTCATAAACTACCTGTACGCTTTAACTCAATTGCTTCCTATCATTTTTGTGAAAATAAAGGGCGAATCTTGGTGTTTTCAGAAATATAGGAGGCTCTCAAAAGAAACCAAGCTAAATGTGCTCGAAGTCACTAAACTTTTAGCCGAAGAAAACAGGATTGAAGCTGCTTCTGCAAGGTAAGTTCTCCCACAGTCGTATACAAAACAGGCGTACTTCATATCAACGGTATTTAAGGGTAAATCTACAGATTTTTAGAATAATAGGCTACTAGGGAATTATAACAGATTTTGACCAAAATGTTCAGGGGCGGTGTGTTTCGGCGTTAGAGAAATCACATACCTAAAGAAGATAACTTTTTAAAATGACTTAGACTGTGACTTAGAACGTTAATTAACAAACAAAGCTTGACATCATGTCAGAGAGACAGAAGTGTTAAAAAAACTAAAGAAGATATGTAACCCGATACAGTGATTATTGATCGAGGCCTTACTGTAGCCATACATTATAAGATTCTACAAAAAGTTGTCCTCGAGTTTTAAAAAGCCTATATATAATTAAGTCCAAAATATTATTCATTTCTAAATTGATAAAATAACTGCAAGAATCATCCAACACACTGGCTTTAAATGATAACGTGCTATGCCCTTCCTGGTGGAAAAAGTAAGATGTGATTTATCTCTAGTTACCTGGGTAACGTTCCCATCCACCTTCAAGTTGGAATGGAAGATTGTCATGGCTTCTCCCTCGCGGGTAGTACGCACAGCGAGACCGACAGGTTCAAGAATGTGAAGTCAAAACTTTTTGATTATGAGAAGAAACAAGGTAATTGTATGCTTATGTTTCTTTAAACCATAGAAACATTTCAGTGAATTTCCCTTTGGTCTCCACCAATTTTGCAATTTTTTCTCAGCAAAGCATTAATTTCATTAGATGACAGTTTTGTCAAAATGAAAAAAATAGTAGTTTCTTCAAAACGATCTGCTTGGGTGCAGATAAATGTGGTTTGGCTTTTTTGAAGAAACGAATCTTATAAATTCCTTTAGTTCATACGAGCTCTGGTACATTGGTTATTTTCCAAAACATACAAGAAGAAAGACGACAGCAAGCTCATGAACTGTTTCTGTAAATCGTTTCGTAAGGTTTCTCTCTCAGTTCCAAATGTTCTAATCCCTAATTTTCTCCCCAGGAAGAAGCATGCGCTCCTTAATGGCGGAGTATTGCGAGGACATCCCAGGAGCAAGCAAGCACGATGTCACCCACCTGAACACTGGCAGAGTGGGGACATTTGACAGACGCCACTCCCATCATCCCCCACCTTCAGATAGTATGTATCCCAGTTCCCTTTTAGCTTTTATAAAACTATAGGTTTCATTTTAATACGTCTAGCCATTTGATTACGGATTATGGATTTGTTATTCGAAAATGCACAGTATTTTAAAATACAAAAACAAGCGCACGCGCGCGTGCACACCCTTCGGACTTCCACCCACCCACTTACACACACACACACGCAGAGTTAAAATCAGTTTGCTAGCAAAGTTAGATAACAAATAAAACGGAATCAGGGACAACATAATCACTATCGAAACATCTATTAACTTCCATACGTCTTTCTTCACTGAGCGATGTGAAACGAAGCTCTCCTGAAAATGTTGTAAAAAAATAATAGCAAATAAATGTGTTACATGGCGATATTTCCTGATATCTCATCTGCCATATATGTACTGTCTTTTTACCTACAGACAGTACCTATAAACTGAAAGTAGAGGCAGCAGCAGAGGCAAGGCGAGGGTCCTGGGCTCACCCACGAGAGCAGAAAGACAGCTCGACCACTCTCCCCCAAATCGGAGGCAAAGACCGTAAAAAAGGCAAAAATCGAACCAATTACAAAAAGAACCAGCAGGACTCGATAAACACCACACCAAGGGGTATACGACAGCCATCAAAAAAGAGAAGTAGCCAGGAGAACCTGCGCCGAGGTAGCAAGAAACGGCTTCACTTTGAAAGCAAATCTCAACTGGTGCAAGGCAGTAACGAAAGCCTCTTGCGAGAAAGTGAGGGCCGCTTAATACGGGATAGTAAGGGGCAACTGCTGCGGGACAGCCAAGGGAACTTAGTTCGTTACCACAGCAGGCACGTGAAAGAACAGCTGGTGCGGGACAGCCTAGGTCGTCTTGTTTACGTCAAGGTTCCTAAGACTGACAAACCCGCTGATCAGCTGACCGGAAGCCGACTGTCCATTGGTTCCAGGGACGCCATTGCTGGTGGACGGGCAAGTTTTCAAAAGTATGTCGTAAAAAACAAACCCCACAAAAACGAGGAAGATTCTTCACACTCAATAGATCTAATTGCTGTAACGAGCAGTGAGTTCAACAATATGGACCAGAATTCAACAGACAGCATGGACATTAAGGTAGGAATCCCTTCTACGAATTTTGCTACCACACAAATCAATAAACAATATGTGGTTTTGACTCTTCATGGGAAATCAATTAATAAGTTGGATAGGTGGGTACTCAAAATGTACAATTACAAACGCATGCACAGACGCTTTGCCCACTTTCGTAACTTCAGAGTATCATCACCGTTTTGAAATGTTTTGTGGGCTTGTGAGGCATTTTCCCACATTAAAAACATTTTCCCACATTGAATCTAAGCCAGGTTTCTCAAGAAAGTGAATAGATACAGCAAGACCATGTCTCTTACAAATTGGGAAATGGGTTCCGATTTTGACCCACCAATTTCCTTCGCCGTTCTAATACAACTTTAGCATTTTTATTTAAAGGAAAACAAGTAGAGAACAGCTTATTTTATATATTTTAGGACATACATATAACAGTACCAGATAGTACAAAAGATGCTCGAACACCATCAAGTAACGTTAAAAGTCCGCATAAAAAAGAACGCGTTGATAGCCGAAACAAGAAGCGTCTTGTAACCGATGAAGAGATGACGGACTTTTGTCGCATGTTGAACGATCCGAAAAACAGAAAACTTCGGTAAGTATGCCATTAAATGTAAGCTTGTGTAAACTTTGTATATGCTAATTATAAATGCAAGTATGTGTACTTATGATACGTTTATATCGCTTTTGGTACTAGGATAGGTACATAGTACCAGGACACATAATCCAAGGTAAAATGATTAGAAAAAAGAACCTTAAGATTCCCTTGCTTCTTTTCCGATTTCATTAATTTCATTAACGTTTCTCGCAATGAATAGAGAAAAGTTGGAGGCGATCCTTCCACAGACTTCCGGTCATTCTCTCAGTAGCCAACAGCATGACAAACATAGAATGGAAATATTGCAAATGTTGGCGGCACATCTTCCGAAAATGATGTCGGAAGAGAGGGAATTAAACACGATTCCGTTCACTGCCAAAGACGCTCTGAACTGCAGATATCTTCGACTAACAGACCAGAATATCAAGACTTTGGAAGAATTATGTCGATCGCAGGGTTCGCCTCTCGATTTTCACCCTCACATGCACGATTATAACGCCTTTGACGAGGCAGATGATGGACAGGAGCAGCTCAGAAGTCAGTGACATCATATGCAAATGACGTGAAACTGAACAAAAACACGTGACCTATCAAATATTTGTGTGATGCACTGGGGATGTAGGATTAGACTATGAAGGCAAAGGTGCTATTTTAACTACTGTAACTTCACTATTAAAATGATTATTTTAAAACACAGCAATATTTTTAGTGATACATGTTCAGTGCATTTTATTCGGTTAAACAAGGAATGTTATTTCTGAAAGTTTGAAAGTAATAAACTATATTATTTGCTAACATTTTACGAGATTTTTGATTTCAAATTAACAAAACAAAATATATTTAGCCAAATAATTCATATAAAACCCAATATCAAATTTGGATTGGTGAGAGAGCAAATAACACCATACCAATGTTCAGTTCATTGATTTTTTTACCCGATGTTATCTAATTATCTGTTTTATTCATTTATTGTTTGTTTGTTTTAAATCCATTGAAGTCTGGCGTAAACAAAAGAGGCAAGAACCTCTGTTGTTATAACAGACACCCCAACCTCATCTTAAAACTGTTTTTCAAGGTGAGGTATCCTTTGGTTAACATATCAACGGGATATATGCAGATCTTCAACATGTACGCATTTCCTTCTTTGGGTCTTCCAAGTTAGATTTGATTGGATAGGATTTATAGCCTGCATTTCTTCTGGTCCACCAAATTACTTTTCTTGGGATAATATGTCCATGGCAAGCTCCTCCTTGGGCCCTCCAAAGAAGTGTTTTCCGGTCGTATCGGTTTTGACGCCACATTCTTTTATTTTAGCATTTGAAACCTAACCATAAGAATATGTGATAACAAATCCTAGATATTCGCAGCTTTCTGCAAAATGTTTGCCCCCTGATAATTTCTGTAAGATCATCAACGAAAATATTTTCTCTCCCAAAAGACAACTAAAATGACAATATTATTTCAAAATATTGGATAAAAATTGCAAGTACCTACCTTCTGTAAAGGTGTGTAGTTGGGATGGTGATGTTTATACACCGGGTCGTTAGAGGCGCGGTTGTAGCATACAAGAAAAGCCCAACGCCTATTTGGGCTGCTGTTTTGGTCACTTCGATGCAGCAGATTACAGTGAAAGAAGAGGGCGTCTCCTGGGTCAAGCTGGACATATGTCAGTGGACAGACTTTCGCCAGTTGGTTTACCCGCTCAAGGTCAGCACAGGCTTGGTCGCCTACTTTCACATGGTCTATGCGTCCAGCTTGGTGGGAACCGGGTAGAATCTATTTTGAATTAAAAAATGGATATATGAGGCCTACTCGTATAACTACATGTTTGTATCCAGCATGCAGGCACAATCATGGGACTTCAGGTAGTTGAAGAAGGGTTATAAATAATATTTAACTAGTTCGCGATTTAATCGACATTTTCATTTGCTAACCACGTATTTCTAAAGTTAAGTTAAAATATTTTCATGGCACATGTTAAAAAATTGAAACAATTTTGAATTCATGAAGCGAAGTTCGCAGAACCTTTAAACACCCGTTTGTCCTGTCTGCTCTGTCCACGGCAATCCACACTGTGCCCATATCTGGAAACAGATTACCGTTCAGGTACCAATAACTGGAAAAGACACAACAGTAATGCATGCGATCATTATTAAATGAATACGCTAAATTACCGTGTGTATGTGTACACACAATATATTTAAACTTTTTTAATGGTTGTTAAAATAACGGGCGTAAAAGCAACATCCCCTACCTTTTAATTGACTGTTGAGAACCCCCCCCCGCCAAAAAAAAATGTTCATTGGATTCACCTCGACATTTAACGTACAATAAATGAAGAAACGAAAAAACATATTGGCTGTTACTTCCGAAATCCTTTATGCATTTTTAAATGCAAGGGACATGTATTGTCTCCTCAGAATTTTATTTAAACGGTATCAAACAAAAATAAGTCTTTGTCACTGTAATCACAGTAATAAGCCACCCTACAAGGAAGAGTGATTACAACCTAGATCACATGAGAATATTGCGGACTTCATGTAATTCCAACTTTGGGTAATCCCACCATACGATTTCAATTATTTCGTAGATCGGAATCAACCGAAGTGTTCCGTTGATTATATGCTGTGAAAAAAAGGAAAATATTTTACCCATAGTCCTGGTGCCAGATGTGGGCGCCCCCTGTGAAAGGCTCCTTCATGATGACTTTGGCGTGATAGTGGTACACCTCTCCACCTAGAAGCTAATTGGAACAGATGGAACATTTTCATATGGTTCTTAGGTGAAATTTTGTAAAATAGTTTTCCTGATCAATGCAATAAACACTCTTAAAACCGCCTTCCATTTATCTTTACGATACCAAGGTCTCAGCACGAAATGAAAAAAAAAAAATAAAACAGTAAAAGTGTTATTTAAATGAGATTTGATACGCGACCAGCATGGCATAAAAAAATAATAAAAACATAATAATAATAAAACGGCCATACGTGGTTATAACTAACCCTCACGAAGCAGGCAGTCTTAAAAATAACAATTAATCGAAGCGTAACAGTCCGTACACATGTATAACACACCAAATCAAAAGAAGGTACAATAATTCATTCATAATCACACACAGAAATTTAGACTACCTTTTCCATGGTGCCGGCGACTTTCTCACTCCTCCCGATAATGCCTGTGATGTCATCCCCAGGATAATTCCACAGCGTAGTCTTAGTTTGCCGTCCTTCCCCGTCATCTCGCCCATAGTTGTGATTGGCCAGGCCTTGGTCCTGTTCAAGGGCGCTCTTCAATGTGGCCAGTTCTTCGCCATCTAGTAAATTGCTTATTTGAAAAAATAGCATATGTACATCAAGTTGTCAAGTATACATTTTTATTTATGGCTCTGATACATGTATATGCCCGTTCAAAAATTTATTAGATGTGCGTAAAGCATTCATTTTCATTATGTACCCCGCTAATAACAGGAAGAAGGTGTGAAAACGAGGTGTGTGAGAGGAGAGAGAGTGATAACTTTACCGCAGTATGATGAAACCGTCCTTGTCAAACTGTGCCTTGACTTCATTTGTAACCATGAAGTTATCTGCAAACTGATAGCCTGAAGTCCAGCAAAGCAAATGAAGCTGACTATTTACAGTGTATGCAGACAATCATGATCATCACCGATTTTCATTTCTTCTTTCTTGATTTGGAATGACAATCACAGCGCATCATATTTAGATATACAGGTACTTAGCAAAAAGATCGTAAGCTAGAACATACCTAATCCATCGGTTGTTCTATCGGAATCCATTCTTAATTAAATGGTCCCTGCCTATGCTGAGACACCTTATTTCACCTCACCACTGTGCAGTGAAAGCTTGTATGCATCAAAGGGCACGATTAGGAGATAACCCGTAATATTCATGTAGCCCTACATCTAACCTTTATATTTACTTTACCTATTTCGTATGTTATCGGGCAACAGCTGCTAGGTTCCTTTGCCGTACCCTGTGGTCATAACGGGCCAAGGACACGAAAGAAGAGAGAGGGGGCAGATATTACCTTACTTCAACCATTTGTTTCTTAAATTTTGATCATTTTGAAAAGCAAAATTTTCCAATTTTTTTTTCCTCAAGATCTAACGGTCAAATGTGCAACATGTTTAAGGCCTACATGTTTGCACTGTAATAATGCAGCCTTACTTAACTGTACAATTGCCCTCCTATATCACTGGCAAGTTCGTAAGCTTTAAAATGCTTGATGGGCAGTTGTTTAAGATCCACAATACATTCAAACTGTACTCTTGCTGCCTGTCTTGTTCGTATAGACGTTGACTGGAAGAAAGGTAGAGGCGTTTTGGGTTGACAGTGAGAAAGGTGGCAGAAGATAACCAAAAATATTTCGGAGGGGAGGATTTCTCCCACCCTGCTCTCCCCTCTTACATGTAGAAGGCACAAGGATTATGAGAAATTTTCCAGGTACATAATTCGTGGTATGTCTGACCGACTTGCTAGCAAGATTAAAAATATTAATACAGTACAATCAATTTACATACTTTTTTGTCAACAGCCCTTTACTTTTTTTTATTATAGAATATTCCAATAATCTGTAGGACTACACGGATTATTCTGATTATATTTGAAATTATTTAGTAAATACAAGGTATAAATAAAAACCAAAATGCATTTGATCCGTTATTCAATTGCAAATTATCTACTGTAGTCGCATCATAATGGAAAATGTAAAGTGGACCATTCAGTGTAAGTGTTTTGAATGATGAACAGTCCATGTCCGACATGGAAATCTACAAACCAGGCTTTCCTTGCTAGTAGCATTTGCTTGAGGAATGATCCTGGCCATGAAACCGTTTTTCATTCAGTGTATTATTTAGTGCCACATTCCTTAATTTTAACTTTGCTTTTCGACAGCTTGAAAAACTATTATTTTAAAACCGCACAGTATTTACTCATATATACAACTAACACACCTGTTGCACGTAACGACATACGACTGACTTGAAAAAAGCATAAACTATCCTTTGGTGAGGTCATAATGTTAAATAGAAAAGAAACGACTTAGTACATATGACAAGAATGTGTCTCATAATTAATTAATGTTTTAATAAAGTCTCCTAATATATTAGCTGTAGTTTAGGCCGTCCTCTCTAGCACTTCTATGGCAAGGTCACGGTCTCTTTTGGGTCCTTGAAAAAATATCTTTCCTTCGGTGGATGTTTTAGTGCCACACTCCTTTATTCTGTTATTCGGCACCTTGAAAAAAGTTACAATATGTTATTATGATTTGAAATGTCACACCAATTGCTAACATTTTGCAATAAACAGATCAGTTGAGGTCACACAAAAGTTGCCTGAAGGAGTGAAAATGCCTATAGATATAAAGGGAGAAAAGGGCGATTTCACATTTTACCAATGCTCATTTGAAATCGCCCAAAATGATTCCGTTATTGCCAGTTTAAGTAAAATAGATGATTCGTCATACAAATGTATGCAAATGTATACATTTACATTTATACGAATGCTTAATAAAATAGATGCAATTAAGGGTCTATACAGCTATCTTCATCCTGAAATAATGTGCAGTATTTCGCAAAATAAATAATTGCGAGAAAAATACTATAACTATAAGAATTATTGACAGAATAATGCCCACCTTAATCAGGGGCGTGTAGTTAGGATGGTGATGTTTATACACTGGGTCATTGGATGCACGGTTATAGCAGACAAGGTAAGCCCAACGGCGGTTCTGGCTTTGATTCTGGTCACTTCGATGGAGAAGGTTGCAGTGGAAAAACAGAGCGTCTCCAGGGTCAAGCTGGACGTAGGTCAAGGGGCAGAGTTTGGCCAGGAGCTCTACGCGTTCCGGGTCAGCCCCTGCTTGGTCACCGACTTTAACGTGGTCTATTCGTCCAGCTCGATGGGAGCCTGGCAGTATCTGAATGCATGGGAAATTGCGACGATAAGTCTTTTCAATGTATGTGCTACTATGGTGGACACATGGTCCAACTGGTAGAAATGGGTTGGCAATGTATTTTTCCTTCTTGCCTTTGGTTAGTGGACATCAAAATACAGCTTCTTTACACAAAAAAGAGAAGCTGGTCGTGTCCTCTAAATATGTTCAAGAAATGAAAATGCAACAATGTTTTCTACAAAATGCAAGTGGAAACAGGTTTTTTATGGACTGCACAGACACCATCATCAATGTTCCATGTACCAGTACATGTATTTTACTTGCTCTCTATACATATTGTACAGAAATAATCATAAGCACCAATACCCACCTCCAGGTATTTAATGGATGTTAGCTATATCTATTTATAACAAGTGTTTCATTACCTGTAGACATCCATTTGTCTTGTCTGCCCCGTCCACTGCAATCCACACTGTGCCCATGTCTGGAAACAGGTTGCCGTTCAGGTACCAATAACTGGAAAATAAATATCACCGAATTTCAAAAGTCTTTTCGCAATACTCATCTTATGTGATATGACATTTTACTGGTACTCTATACCAAATGGAACCTAAATTATTGACTCAACAGCTTTTCCTCCCCCCCAAAAAAGTCATAGGTCAGACAGATTTTTAAATGTAAACAACCAACTATAAACTTCCTTGTAATTGTAAATGGACTTTGGGTTGTTTACTTCATATACTTTCACAACTTCAAGGATAAAAAAATGGTTAGATAGGATTACCCGTAATCCTGGTGCCATATAAACGCACCCCCTGTGAATGGTTCTTTCATAACGACTTTCGCGTGATATTGATATACTTCTCCCCCTAAAAGCTGGAATAAGGAGTCTAACATTAAACACGCTTTGCTAGATTGCCTACCGTAGAGACAAAGGTAATTGTTTATAAGTTTGATATATAGCACCTATTTTTATTAAGTTAATGTCAGGACCTTAACTGACAGGGACTTTTACTGAATCCAGTCTAGTTTTAATATGACCCTTCACTCATGAATTTTGCTTAAATATAAGTTTTGTAAATAATAAATCAGACTTACAGGGATTCGCAAAACCAAATCATACCTTTTACAGGAAAGAAAAATGAATATTAATGACAGTCAACAAAGGACCGATATACCTTTTCCATGGTACCAGCAGCTTTCTCACTCCTTCCAATCATACCAGTGATATCATCTCCAGGGTGACTCCAGTTGACGGTTTTTGTTTGGCGGCCTTGGCCGTCGTCTCGAGCATAGTGATAGTCTTCTAGAGCTCTGTCTTGCTCCAGGGCCGTTCTCAAGTTGGTGACCTCTTCGGCGTCCAAAAACTTTCTAGAAACAAAAATTATAAGAAGGGTCGACAACAGCACAACCACCGTTCAATTGAAACGGCATCATATTTGGCATACGAAGCGGTAAAAAATGGACAGCAGAACTTAAATACTAAGATATCCACTTATTATTTCGCTTATCAAAGTACAGTATTTAGGTAGGGGAATAGGCTTATATACATGCAATTCGAACTGTCAAATCCACACTTTTTAAAATACCTTTTTTGTATTGTCAAACGTGCTTCAGTTAGCTTAAAAGACAATCCAATTAAAATTTTCTGTCGTGAATTTCGATGCGTATATCATATAAGCTCTTCCGGCGCCCCCTACTCGATAGGTATTTCACTTTAACCTGTAACCTCTGATACTTAGCTACCGCAGGAAATCTAGTGAAGTTTGTAAACAAGAGTGTACGGGTTTGAAAGTATTTATTGCCTTACCGCAATATAATGAAACCGTCCCCGTAAAACCGATCTTTCACTTCGTCAGTAACGATAAAGTTATCTGTATACAGGTAGCCTAAAATTTAGAAAACATGCCTTTTGATGAGATACTAATGAACACAAAATTATGAATATAATCAAATGTTGTTGATTTATCTTCATAACACGACCTCACACATTCAAACGAGCCACTCTCTTTCCCCTCTCTCACACATAGGCACACACTCACAAACACACACACACACACACACACACACTTAATATATAACTCACCTAATATATGAGCGTACAGTTTTGGACATCTGTACCTGGGTTAGGTGAACGACCGTAGACCAGAGCAAACAACAATCAGAGGATTAAAAGCGCGGCAGACACGACCCACGACCTACAACCGGCTTTGCAGTTACTTAAGGTGCTCTATATACTGACAGATTATCTCTATAAAACACAATTTACCTGTACCGTCAGTCGTTCGCACGAATTCTCCCATTCTTTCACTCACGTACCACAACAACCAACTGTCTGTCAGTTTATCGCCTTTCCTTGTTGTACATGATTTGGCTGACACACTGACCTAGGTGAAGGTTACAGTTGGATGTCTGTTACAACAACGCTTTTTTATCATCACGCGCTAGCCTGGGTCAGGTATAATATTATAATGCCATTTACTTGTGTATCATATGTTACACGGGTTCTGATTTTTTAAACATCTTTGCTATCATAATGTACAAGTAGCCCGCTGCGTAAATACAAGAAGCTTGAAAAATAAAATGAACAAAATGAACAGAAGACATAAAATCTTCTGACAAAAGCACCGTTTAAATACGGTGCTTTTGTCAGTTTGACAAACTCAATAACTCGTTTGCGGTTTTTATGTACAGTTGTATATTAATTTCTATCAACTTACCACCATATGCTTAGACAGAGGTAAGACTTGGTAAGACTTGTGTTATGAAGGTGTGTTTTCCTTTTCCATTTTATCAGAAATTATATATTCACTGTTCACCTGTATCGATAATAGTTTTGTATGTACCGTTTATTGAAATAGGCGTGTGTGTGTGTGCGTGCGTGCCAGCCTGCCTGCCTGCGTCCGTGTGTGTGTGTGTGTGTGTGTGTGTGTGTGTGTTCATGATCATCTTAATTACATCGTATTCATTAAAAAATTCGTTACGAGAATTAATTATAACATAAATTGTGGCATCGTTTATTATGATCAACGGTTTAATAAAATCTAAATGGTTGCATAAATGCACTAGCTGAGACTTTGGCTTATTGCTTTCTATGGGGATTGAATCAATTGTGCTATAAAGAAAATTCAATTTCATAACAGCAATACCTGAAGGGGTTTATAAGCGGAAAGCTCAGATAGCGTATTTACTTTAATGTCATTTCAAAAACAGTTTGGCGCGATAAAGGGTGTCGTAATTGACTTAACTATGAGTGAAGAGGAGGGTCCAATTATGTCAAACAAACTTATGTAGTTATTTGTTCCCCACTATAACTCTGGTGTAAACTGTCTACTCTAATGAAGTCAGGTCATTAGCGAAACCCTGCGTCAACAGAGAATGTTTTACCTGCTGTACAGGTTGCCCTCGTGAAAGCATCGAGAACAAAAAACATTTTCTTGAAACATAATCAGTTCACGTACTCATTGCTTTATAATAAATTCTCCGAGGAATAAACTTATAATAAACTCAACTTGGCATTTTAAAGTGCATAAGCAATAGAAAATCAAACAAATTCAGCTTAAATTAGAAGCGAAATATTTAATGAAGCAAGTATAATGAAACAAAAAAAGGACTCAGAGAAAGATAAAAAAAAAAGAGCAAAATATCACAAGGGCTGCAGGTATAGTGTATTCCTTAACGTTTCATAAAATAATTAGAACAAGAAAAGTTATGTGGTGCTTTGCTAAAATACAATACACTTTCAAAGAAAATCAGAATATACATGTATATTTCAATCGGCCATCTTACATGTTACTCTCTGCCCACAGAGTGCGCTAGTAGTCTGATACAAAATTATTGTATCGCTGACACTTTAATTTTGTATGCTGTTTTAGAAGCCCCTGATATCAGTGGCTTCATACAGGTATATTTAGAGTGTAGAAGTTTACTGTATGAAATAAAGCAATGACTGTTTTGCAAGTAGATAGATGATCATTGCTGTTTATTGATCAGGGCCCGGTTTCATAAACGTCGTTTAGCACTAACCAATGGTTAAATCTTCTAAACGGTTGGTTAAATTTATAGTTTAAATTCCTTAAACGCCGGATAAATAAAGCAAACCTGCTGCGGTTTGCCAGAAATCCTCGGAGATATATACCTTTTAGACTGAAAAGAGACAGAAATTTCAATAGAAATTTATTTGATTTTGATGGAGCAACTGAGCAAGAACTCATTGAAAGATTTACATTCAGTAGAAATTCGATACTGTATTTAGAAAACTTACATCAAAACCAACCAGCTCCAGAGACGGAAAGGAATAATTCTTTCAAGAAAACTAGTTTCATTTTGAATGTTTTTTATGATATTATTATTATTTATTTATTATTTTTATTATTTATTTATTTATTTATTTATTATTATTTATTTTATTTTATTTTATTTTTTTTTTTTTTTGAAAATAAGTACATAAACATACTTTGGCAATCTCAATCATCTAAATCAATCTAAACCATCTCTTTGTCTTCTCAGATATTGTTGACATTGCCAAAGTACATTGAAGAATAGCAGACAAAACAAATGAACAATGGATTAATTATGGGTATTTTATTTTGTTTATAGAAACCCATTGCATTCTGGGTAATTTTATTTCCAAATATGGTCTGGATAAGCTGTTCAAAGCAACTAAACACTGGTTTTAAAAAAATTAAACGTCCGTTAACTAACCGGCTGTAAAACACAATTTTAAACGCCGTTAACCAGTGTTTGGAGAATTTATCCACTGGTTAGGCTTATCCACCGGTTAGTGATAAGCGTCCTTTATAAAACCAGGCCCAGGAGTTTTTTTCCCAACTATGATGCACAAGCCCTTAGATCAAAACATTTACCAGAGGTTCAGAGTTCCAGGTTGGGACAAGGAAGGGGTGTTACTCACGGGAATATATGGTTTACTTCTTATAAAAAAAAGGATGGATTTTACAAAAATAGTTACCTGTGTATCACAGTGTATGTATTAATCCTCTGTAAAATGTTGGTACCACGCTCTCAGACCGTCATGAGAAAATTATTATTTGAGGTTATCTTTCTGATCTTAACCGTCAGATATATTACTGATATGTGATAAAAAAGATTCAAAACAAAAAAGTATTTTCCATCATAACGTTAATAGAATGAAAACAATTTAATTTAGTAATATGGTAACCTTGCGTCTCATAATTAATCGATGTCTGAATAAAGTCTCAGAATATACTGTAGTTTAAGCCTTTCTTTCTAGCACTTCTATAGCAGGGTCACGCTCTCTTTTCGGTCCTTGAAAAAATAGTTTTCCTTCGGTTGGTTCTCTAGTGCCACATTCCTTAATTCTGCTATTCTGTACCTTGATGTAAGAAATATCAATATGTTATTATGAAATAAAATGGCACACCAACTGCTAATATTTTGTAATGGACCCGTTATCTATTCAGCTATGTTCATCTTGAAATGCGGTGTATTATGCAAAATAAACAAACAAATATAAACATGAATTAGAATAGAAGAAAAAATGAAACTATGATAATATTTGACTGCATTATGCCTACCTTAATCAGGGGCGTGTAGTTAGGATAGTGATGTTTATACACTGGGTCATTGGATGCACGGTTATAGCAAACAAGGTAAGCCCAGCGCCGGTTCTGGCTGTGATTCTGGTCACTTCGATGGACCAGATTACAGTGAAATATCACAGCGTCTCCAGGGTCAAGCTGGACGTAGGTCAAGGGACAAACTTTGGCCAGGAACTCTACGCGTTCCGGTTCAGCCCCTGCTTGGTCACCAACTTTCACGTGCTCTATTCGACCAGCTCGATGGGAACCTGGCAGTATCTGCATGCATGGAAAAATTGCGGTAATAAGTCACCTAAATATATACGGCAAATGAATATGCAATATGGTTGTCACATATGTGTTTTACATATTTTTACTTAAGAAGGAGTAACCAATGGTTCCTTTACGGACTGAAGAGACATCATCATTAATTTATGCTTTTAAATAATTCTTTGTACACTTTGTACAGATGTGAACATTGACATCAACATTCACCTCAATGGATTCTGTGAAAGTTAAAGATGTCTATTTACAAGACATGTTTCATTACCTGTAGACACCCGTTTGTCCTGTCTGCTCTGTCCACTGCAATCCACACTGTGGCCATGTCTGGAAACAGGTTGCCGTAAACGTACCAATAACTGGAAAATAACAGTAATCACAAATGCAGTAAATAACCAGCAGTATAAAGAAAATATGAGAATTTACTCTTGACATTTTGATTAGAAGCGCACAGAAGACCAAATGCATTTTCTAAATTTTGTTTTGACATGATATTTACAAAAATGGCACTGTGCACCAACTCAGCAGCTTGTTCATATACGCTGTGGCGCTATGCATGAGCAGAGAGAACTAAGTTGCGGTCTCATCTTTTCTTGTCTTTTCTTGTCTTTTTTTTTTTTTTTTTTTTTTTTTTTTTTTTTTTGTAACGTGAAAACAACCCTTGAGACATGTTGTTTACAATAAGTTTTCAGCTGTCATTTACTTGTTTATCTTGTTACACGTGCCCTCAGTTTCCTAGTATCGATGCTATAATGTTGTAAAAGTGGTGCGTTGCGTGAATACAAGGCTATTGAAATATAAAATGTTGGGACAGAAAACATGTGCCGGTATCGTACATCATTGTGTACGAACGGCGCCTTTGCAACGAATGGTAGTCCGCTAGGAACCGTACTCCGTTCAACATTACTTTGTACAGGTGACATTCGCCCCATATACGACCCCCTCCCTGCAAAAATTTGTTTCATTTATACTTACGGTTCTCAATCTATTCTAGAATATTTGGTGTATGTTTTACAGTTCTATTGTTGTTCAGTAACGAATGTAACAGTTCGAAAACTGTTTTTGGGAAGTCCTTCAGAATGTCCTAGAAAAGATTAAGAACATTTTTCATTAAAAGAGAAAAACATTAGGTTCTAGGACAGATTTAAAACCGCAAGTGGGCGTTTAATTAGACAAATCTTCGCAGGGGCCCAGTACACCGACTAACCCTAACGTGTAATAATCATAATATGACCCTGGACTTCGGTTCCTATATGTAGAACTACCATTCCTGTCACACAGGCTCTCCTCCTCTTTATTATGGTAACGTGAACGCAGGTGTTGCAGTATATAAAATGTCTTTTGCAGACTTGTCAGAGTTTGTTATTCTAAACGGGCTGCACACTCTTCACTTTTACTTCGACAACTTCCTGAATCATACATTGAACGATAGCGCATGCAGTGAGCATGTGAAAATAATGTAAAAAGAGCTGTCCTGTGAAATTTACCCGTAATCCTGGTGCCATACAAACGCACCACCTGTGAATGGTTCTTTCATGATGACTTTGGCGTGATATTGATATACCTCTCCCCCTAAAAGCTAGAATTAAGGATTGGAAAATTTTATTTTACTCGTTTGCTTACTGTAGAGACAAAACTTTAATTTATAGGTTAAAAATACTCGGCATATTCCCACAGAGATGTATATAGGCCTATAATCACTATCTTAACTGAACGCTGAAGCCAGTCTAAATATTTTTTCACAAAAGTGTTCGCATGAATTAAAACAATTTGTGAAGTTAAATTACATTATATGAGGCCTACATGTACATGTACTGTAGCTACCTTTTCCATGGTACCGACAGCTTTCTCACTCCTCCCTATCATCCCGGTTATGTCATCCACAGGGTGATTCCAGTTGGCCGTTTTGGCCTGATATCCATCCCCATCGTCCCTGGTATAGTAATTGTCCTCCAGGGTCTTGTCTTGCTCCAGGGCCTTTCTCAAGTTAGTCACTTCTTCTGTGTCCAAAAACTTCCTAAACGCAAAGACATTAGAGGGTTGGAAAAAAGGTTGAAGTGATGCCTGAATGTCAATGTCTTCCAAGATCAGACGCAAATGTGTCTTTTTTTTTTCGTGACTGGCTAAAAAATCTCGGCGATTACGTCATCGGTCGATGCATATTTCTGCTATTATTGAGTTTTATCAAACTTCACATTGCCGGATATAAGATCACATTCTGTGCTTATCTTATAATAACTCCTTTCATGTGGGTGTTAATTAATCGGTTTTGATTAGACAATATTGGATATTTATTCCGTTTCATATTTACGGAGGCACACTTGTTAATCTTGCAAAAAGGGGGGCAAAGTTTTGAAACAGCTTACTGCCTTACCGCAATATAATGAAACCATCCCTGTAAAACTGCTTTTTCAATTCGTCAGTAACGGCAAAGTTATCTGTATATTGGAAGCCTAAAATTTGAAATACATACCTTTCAGTGATACACATTTACTAACACAACATCATACATGGAAATCACAATGGATTGTGGACTTATCCTCACGACACCATCACAATAAATAGGCCATTCTGTTCATCCAAAGACACACGCGACACTACAGTCTGCCTTTTTTCTCTCTCGCTAACAAAGACACGCGCCTATGATAATAGATTAAAATAAGCAGTCTGCATACAGTTGCCGATAATTGTACCTAGGCAACCTATAAGTGGTTTAAATACACGTCAGTCATAACGTAATATATTAATATACTCATATATAAACAACGAAGGTCACCTGCTAAGGTGAGGCGTGTGGTGACCCCATTTCGAATAGAAATTCGATATGAAAAATTAGCTATTGCGGAAAGAACCTGTCCATTATATGTGAATCTAAGTGTATGGAGGACGAGGTCCACTTCTCAGTTAACTATCCTTTTTTATTGGTAAACGCGTTGAACTTTTAATATTGCTAGATGTTTTAACAACAATTTTTATCTTTTAAATGATCAGAACAAGTTTTTATTTGTGACTAGTAATGACGACACGATTTCTTTAGTTGCTAAACCTGCCGCCGATTTTTAGAATTAACGATTTTATGTATAAATAATGCTTTAACGTATAGCTTAAGTGATATTCAATCTCTCGTAGCTCTATATAAAACAGCCATATTTTACTGCTTCTAATTTTTTATTTCCCTTTATATAGGTGAGACTAAAATAAAATATCTCGAATCTTTATATTGGCAGATCACTATCACTTAAAAACACAATTTACCTGTCCCGTCAGTCGTCCTTATGGATTCTCCCATCCTGTTACTCGTGTACCACTGCAAGCAACTGTGTGAAAGTTAACCACCGTTCCTTGTATTAAATGACTTGACTACATATCAACTGACATAGTTATAATGTACAGATGGAGATCTAGCTGTTGTGGTAGTGTTTTTATCATGTTGTTTACAATATATTTTCAATTGGCATTTACTTGTATATCGTGTTTATCACGGGCCCTCAGTTTCCTAACATCGCTGCCATCATAATGTAGAAGTAGTGTGTTGCGTGAATACAAGATTGAAAAATAAAATGTCAGAACAGAAAACTTGATCTGCTGGCATTGTACGTAATTGTGTAAAAACGATGCATTTGTCAGTTTGACAAACTTAACAACACATTTGCGGTTATGTCTAAAGTTGAGGCTAATTTTGATCAGCCACCAGGCTTGTGTATAGACATACAGTGTACTGTAGGACCTGGCTATCGAGACGGGTACTTTAATTTTACATAATATCAGAAACTTTAATAAAAAGAATGCACCTGTATCGATTCTAGGTTTATAGAAATGTATGTGTGTGTGTGTGTGTGTGTGTGTGTGTGTTCTTATCTTAATTGTATACATTAAAAGATTCGTTACAAGATTTAATTATGACATAAATCGTGGCATTTTTATTAGTGTTTGGAACATTTATATATATTAAACATGTAAATGATTGCATAAATACACTAGCTGAGCCTTTTACTTATTTCCTTCGTCGGGGAAATTGTGGCATTTTTATTATGATAAAGTGTTTTATACAATATACATGTAAATGATTGCATAAATACATAAGCTGAGCCTATTAATAACTTCCGTAATTGTCAGCTAAAAAAGAAGGGCAGGCAATAAAATTAGTCCATAAAGGTAATGCATTATACAAAACAATATAAAGGTCACATGAATGTTAAAGAGTTGATAGTAAAATGGACGTCAAGGGTCTATTAGGCTAAGTTCCAATTAAAATGTGGTGTATTATGCAAATGTAACGAACAAATATAAAAATGATAAAAACAGGAGATAAATGAATGTAACTATGAAAATATTGGAATGTTTTATACCCACCTTAATCAGGGGCGTGTAGTTGGGATAGTGATGTTTATACACTGTGACATTGGATGCACGGTTATAGCAGACAAGGTAAGCCCAACGGCGGTTCTGGCTGTGATTCTGGTCACTTCGATGAAGCAGGTTGCAGTGGAATAACAGGGCGTCTCCAGGGTCAAGCTGGACGTGTGTCAAGGGGCAGACTTTGGTCAGGAACTCTTAGCGTTCCAGACCGGCCCCTACTTGGTCACCGACTTTCACGTGTTCTACTCGTCCAGCTCGATGGCAGTATCTGCATGTTTTCAAAAATTGGGTGATAAGACTTTTTACCGTGAACTACACAAGACCGGACACATGGTTTCCCTGGAAGAAATGGATTGACGATGTATTTTTCTGACTCGCCTTTAGCAATATATACATGAAGTTAGGGTGCATCACCATGCAGTTTCTGTACACACACACAAAAGGAACAAACTATACGTGTCCTATAAATTTCAGCAAATTAATATGCAATAACTTTTACACATTTTCTACAGAAATACAATTGGATACAATGGTTCCTTTAGGGATTGCACAGAAACCATCAAGATTTCAAAGATTTTAATTGCTCTCCGTACACTTTGTACAGAAATGAGCATTGTTATCAACACCCATCTTGATGGATTTAGTGAATGCTCGTGACATTAGAACTTGTGTTTCATTAACTGCAGACATCCTTCTGTCTTGTCTGTCTCTCTGTCATTTACATGTTTATCATGTTATGTGGGGGCTGAATTTTTTACCATAATTTTTTATCACAATGTACAAGTAGTGCGTTGCGTGAATGCAAGGAGACTGAAAAATAAAACGTTGGAACAGAAGACTTAAAATCTTCTGGTATTGTAAATGATTGTTTAAAACGGTGCTTTTGTCATTTTGACAAACTCAACGCGTTCTCGGTTTTATTTACAGTTGTAGATTAATTTCTATCAACTTACCACCATACATGTATGCTTAGACAGAGGGATGACTTCTGTTATGAGGGTGTGTTTTCTTTCTGTACACCTGTATTGGTACTAGTTCTGTATGCACCATTTATTGAAATAGGTGTGTGTGTGTGTGTGTGTGTGTGTGTGTGTGTGTCTGCCTGCGTGCGTGAGTGTGTGTTCGGGGGTAATTACCTTAATTATATCGTATTCATTATAAGATTCGTTACGCGAAATAATAATAACATAAATTGTGATATCTTTAAGTATGACTAACTGTTATATAGAATATAAATGGTTGTATAAATTGACTAGCTGAGACTTTGGCTTATTGCTTACTCGAATCAATTTTGCTAAAAAAAGAAAAATCAATTTTATAACAGTAATACATGTACCTGAAGGAGTTAATAAGCTCAGTCACCGTATTTATTTTTATGTTATTTTAAAAACAGTTGGTCGTGATTAAGGAGGTTGAAATGGACTTAACTGTGAGTGAAGAGGGGCGTCCAATCACGTCAAACAAACTTATGATGTAATATGTTGCCCACTATAATTCTGATGTGAATTGTCTGATCAAATGAAGCCAGGTTCGTAGTGAAACCCGGGGTGTCAACAAAAAATATTGAACCTGCTGTACAGGTTGCCTTCATGTAAGCAGCGAGAACAAAAACATTTTATTTAAACATAATCAGTTCACGTATTCATTGCTGTATGATAGATTCCCCAACGAATAAACTTAAATTAAGCTAAACGTGGTATTTTAAAGTACATCCGAAATAGAAAAATCAACTAAAAGAAGCTTAAATTAAAAGCAAAATATTTAATGAAGCACATATAATGAAATAAAGGAAAAGAGCATAATATCACAAGGGCTGCAGATGTAGTGGACTCCTTAACGTTTCATAAAATAATTAAAACAAGAAAAGTTATGTGGTGCTTTGCTAAAATACTATATATTTTGAAACAAAATCAGAATAAACATGTATATTTCAATCGGACATCTTGCATACATGTTACTCTCTGCTCATAGAGTGTGCTAGTAGTCTGATACAAAAGTATTGTATCGCTGACTCGTTTACAATATTTTAGTAGCCATTGATATCAGCGGGATCATACAAGTATAAGTAGAGTATATAACCTTACTATATGTAGTAAAGCAATAACCGTTTTGCAAGTAGATCCCTGATCATAAATGTTTGTTGATCATAAGTTCCTCCCAACTATGATGCACGAGCCCTTAGATAAAAACATTTAACCTACGGTTCAGATTGGGCACATTTTTTATAGTACATCGTGTGTTTCAGAAATGTGACTTACTAGAAGTTCAGAGTTCCAGGTTGGGACGAGGAAGGGGTGTTTATCACGGGAAGATCAGGTTTACTTCTTTCAAAGTAAATTTAGATTCTACAAAAGTATTCACGTGTTGTATGTTAAATGCTGGCACCAGTGCACAGCCTCTTCGATCCTAACCGTCTGATATGTTACTGATATGTAATAAGAAAGATTCAAAACAAAAAAATGTCTTTGTCATCAGAACGTTAATAAAATGAAAACCATTTAGCACATATGGTAACATTGTGTCTCATAATTAATCGATGTCTGAATAAAATCTTAAAATATACTGAAGTTTAGGCTGTTTAGGCCTTCCTCTCTAGCACTTCCATAGCAGGGTCACGCTCTCTTTTCGGTCCATGAAAAAATAGTTTTCCTTCAGTGG